AATATATTTATATATTTTTATTTACAGACATATTCTATATATAACTATATATGGAAAATTTGTTACTGAGGAATTTTTATTATTTGCAATATATCATATGATAAGTAAATTTATATATATAATAAATTTTTTGAAAAGTTTACTTATCATATGCATTACAAAAATATGTGAGAATAATGGATCATAACTTTTATATTATTTTTATATTTCAGCAATGCGATTATTTTTATAATATATAAAATATGCGAATTTAAATATTTTTATTCATCCTTATAAACTCATACGAATGTGTTCAAAAGAATAGAAATTCTTCCGGAGCACGATTTAGTCCTGCAAGGTTTCGTTGCTCACGATTTTAACATTTATTTCAATACACGTATGTTTCGTAAAAATACATGATTCTCAAAACGTGATCTATAAAAATCTTCTAGTTTAATAAAAGTTTCAATTTAATATGTCAATAGGTAATAAAATCATGGACAGATTATCATATCAAGATTAATATTTGTCTATTGACATATTTTATCATCTTTATTGTCGGATAATGTCAGAAATAAAAGCAAACTGCAACAAGAAGAGAAACGCACAGTGGCAGCGTGCGTTGTTGATTGTTGTTACAACATTGATATCGTAAAATATATTCTCCGGTCGCCAAATAGTTTGCACAATCGCCGGTAATGTTACAAAGTTAATAATTTCGCGTAACAATTACATATAGCTTTTAATAATCGTAAAATTTGATCCCGCATTTATGAGGGGTAAATTTTCTTCAACAATCCGCTTTTCTTCAACAATCTGCTAATATTTTCTTTTGTGCACGATAAAGATGATTGCTACAATACTTATCATTTTCTTTACACAATACATGCATCTATTTGCCATGCCCAATCCGGAACCAAATCCAGGCGCTTGTGTCCTCAGTGTTAACGCGGTATCAATGATTCTATACACCAGGTAAAAAAGGCGCGACTATCTAGTGTCGATTTTATTATATCTGTCCTTTTTTTTTAGAGATATTCCTGATGGCAAAAATATCGGAATACAAGAATGCTGCGAAAATCTCAATTCGTCGCAACCGATTGTCTTCCTGGTCCACGGTTTCATCAGTACCGCAAACCTAACTAGGTTTCAAGAATTGGCTTCGCGAATGATAGAGGTAGCTGTTACATTAAATATTTGCAATAGAAGTGTAATGCCTATAAAAGATAAATATCTCTTTTTGATAACAGAATATTGTAAAGCTCAGTAAAAAAAAGTAATCAAAAATTTAGTAAAATTATTTCTTGTTATTACAGACAGGACGTGTAGTATTTGCATTAGATTGGTCTCAAGCGGCTTGTTATAACAAACTTCCTACCTTCACTAGGTATGCCAGTGCAGTGAAGAATACTCGTGCCATAGGCTCTCACATGGCAAAGTACATTTTTTAAAATATATTTTTTAAATATATAGACATATAACAAAAGACAGTGTACTCGATAAAACTCAAATTTTTATATGC